CTCAGGGTCGGGGGTCTCAGTGGACCCCCTTGATTTTCATGCACACCTGCTCCTGGGTGGCCAGGCTGGCAGCTCTCCTGCCCTAGACGGCCACTTTCCTGTGCCTAGTGCAGAGATCATCGATGAGGTCCACGATCTCCGCACTAGACCAGGTGGGCGCCCGCCTCTTGTGGTCCCGGGCGGGCTCCTGGGAGCTGCCAGCCTGGTCCTGGGAAGAGGCAGAGGGCTGGGTAGCAGCGGGTGGGTGGCTCATGCCATGCCAAGTGCAGGGTCTGCTGCTGGGTGCTGGCAGGTTTGCAACTGGCACAAGCACTGTAGCCACACCGTGCCCCTTTAAGGGCTTTGGGGCTGGGACGAGGGCAGAAGAGTTTCCCTGGCTTGGCCCAGAGTGGCCACCAGGGCAACCTGGGAAGGGCTAGCCTCCAACTAGTTCAAATTAAGTGGCTACACAGCCCTTAATTCGAACTAGGAGTTAGTCCTCGTAGAATAAGGTTTACCTAGTTCAAATTAAGCGCTCCGCTAGTTCGAATTAAATTTGAACTAGCGTTTTGTATGTGTAGCCGCTATTAAAGTTAATTCGAACTAATGACCGTTAGTTCGAATTAACTTTGTAGTGTAGACATACCCAAAAATATGTAGTAGATTTCTGGATTCAGGCTCTGATCCTATAATCATCTCAGTGAAGGGGGACATTGGCATGGCTCCCCAGTGAAGCCATTAAGTCTGCCTATGCAGGAGTAGTAGGGGCTCTGCACAGAGCCAGGGATAGTTCAGTGGTTTGAGCATTGGCCTGCTAAACCTAGGGTTGTGAGTTCAGCCCTCAAGGGGGCTATTTAGGGATTGGGGGCAAATCTGACAGGGATGGTACTTGATTTTGCCACGAGGGCAGGGGATTAGACTTGATGATCTCTCAAGGTCCCTTCCAGTTCTATAAGATAGGTATATCTCTATTATTTATAATGTGTTGGAGGGGTTTAAGTTGTGGGCTGTAGCTGATGACAAATGGAATTCTGTTGTTTTTTCTTTTTGGCCAGTCTTGAAGTAGTTCATGTCTGGGTATTCTTTTGGCTCTGTCAATCTGTTTTTTCACTTCTCTGGGTGGGTATTTCAGTTTTAAGAATTCAAACCAAAATAATACCAGGAAAAACTACAGGAAAGCAAATGTTTTGGGGATGCATACTGCTACAACAAACACTGGAAAATCAACATGTCAGTGGGAAAAGTAAAAATGAAAAGGATCAATGCACAAACTTACAGATACAGAGTTGACAATTTGTTTGAAAGATCCGATAGTAGCTAATCAGCACCTTCAAAAAAGTGTCACTTTTAGTAGCATGAACTTTTATCAGCCCCATGAAGTTCAGAGTGGAAAGTTCCAGGTACAAATAACTATGAACGACTGGGAGTCTGGGATTTAATGAAAAAAATTATATAAGATATTGTCAGCAACAGAAGTTTTGCACTATTTGATCTGATTAATTTCAAAGCATCTGCAGTACGTTTGGGTGACTGGAAAGGGCGACATTGTAGATTTCCATGTAAAACAAATAATTCAAAATGATAAAATGAGGTTTCAACACAATATGTAACTGGGTTTTTTCTTCAGTATCATTTGAGTGACTTAATAAACTAAAGTGGTTTTGATTATTTCACTGAGTTTGCTACAAGTTTCAAACAAGTATTATTGTAAATTAATGTGAAGTATTAAAATGGTTTAAAGTTACAGCACTTTAACATAATTAAATTAAGAATTAAGTAATGGTCCTAACTAAGTTCTGCAACAATCCATATTCTTTCATGTTAATGTTTGTGGGATTTGATGTATTCATAGCAAGGAGTGGTTTTTGCACCAAATTAATCCAGCTTCTGATGTCAGGAAGGACTATTTTCCAGGGAGGAAACCTGCCAATTTTTATTTGGGAGGAAAATATAATATCTGTGTTTGACATACAGGTAGAAGATCTGATTGTAAAGTACAGAAAAAAGAAGAGGATTGTTGCTGGAATAATCATTGAACCAATTCAGTCAGAAGGGGGAGACAATCATGCTTCAGATGATTTCTTTAAGAAGTTACGGGACATAGCCAGAAAGGTAAAGCAAACATTTAGACATCCACCAAATGATGGTTTGAATTTCTGATGTTTTCTCCAGACCATTTCAATGATTTTCCCATAACCCCTTTCTGAAGACTAACATAAGATTAGAGACCTCCTGAAAGCCTTCTGGAATGACATTGGTGGCAATGATGTGTATGTGCTCATACCCAACAGTGCCTTTTCTCCAGCACAGTAACATCTCCTGTTCCATTTGACATACTCTCAGAGAGTTAGCAGTGAATTGTTCTGTTGAATAGTTCTCCCACTCTCAAAAGAGTAATAGAGAGGAAGGGCTGCAGGGAACATAGGCAAGGGGAAGGCATTGCCTTCCCAAAACTGCACATGCTCCCACCACCCAGGAGGGCTGGGACCATGATGCAGCTGCCCAGCTCTGTGGCTGCCAGATGCTCCAGCCACACCAACCACTGGCATGGGTGAGCGTCTGGGGATTTCTGGAGGCTGAGGACAGTAACCTGGGGTGGAGGTCAGGGTTGGCTCCCCAGAGGGTGGGGGGAGTTGTGGAAAGGGCGGCGCCTTGGGAGGAAGGGGCAGAGCCTGGGCTTTCCTTCCCCAGCTGGGTGTCCACCCCAGGAGGGGCTGGAATTTTCAGCTAGCCAGGGTTACCTGATTGGCCAACCATTCCAAAATGTTTTATGCTACAGAACAGATGTGCTGGGATGTTGCCTGTGTCTCTTGAATGTAGCTGGCCCCCTATGTTGTAGGTAAAAATCTTTCAAAAGCACAAATAGATGTTAGTCTCATAATTCCCATTGACTTTCTAACTGCTTCTAGAACTTTTGAAAATCACCCGCCTAGCATTTGCTAATATTACTTGGAAACATTTTGAGGCAGTCTATCTAAAAACATGGTTGTGTTTTCTGTTGCCTGCACAGAGTAGTGTAGAAACCAGATTTCTGTGTACCACTCTCAAAAATAGCTGAATTTCTTTTGATGATGTATTCACAAAAAGATCTAACAAACTATTCAGAGACTGACATGCGAGAAGTGCTCAGAACAGTTCTCCTGTCATATTGTTCTGTGCACTGTTCTTTAACTTCTATTATGTATATATTCAGCAAGAGAGGTGAATGTTTGTTTTGGAAACATGGATTCAAGATCCTTGATCTCTTAATCTCTCCGAACAGCATGGCTGTGCATTTCTGGTGGATGAGGTACAGACAGGAGGTGGCTGCACCGGGAAGTTTTGGGCCCATGAACACTGGGGCCTCGACGACCCCACTGATATGGTATCATTTAGTAAGAAGATGATGACAGGAGGATTTTTTCACAAGGAGGAGTTCAGGCCCAATGCTGTAAGTGTTTGAGTGTACCTTGCATTCTGTTGTCCTAAGTCTTAATGAGTGAAAGAAAATGGTCCATTTCTGGGTGTGATTCTAACACAAGCTGAACTTTGGGACCTACTTCTTTTCTCACCTGCCCAGTGTGCAGGTATTCCTGATATATAATAAACTCAGCTGGCCTGTACCTGGGTTCAACTGATATGTGGCAGTACACATGGTATATCTGAGTAGAAGGTCGTTATTGTTTAACACACACAGTCTGTATAGTCTCACAAGTACAAACAGTAGGTCTAGATCTCCATGTTCTTACACTAGTCTGACCACAGTGAAGTCATGTTCAGTGGACTTACATTGGTATAAGACTGGTGTCAGGGAATGGAGAACCAGGCCCCGTATTTCTAATACACTGAATTTTCAACACCATATGGGAGTAAGACTTGACCCTGTACTTTGAGGGGCTCTATCTCTTTCGTTCAAAACCTGCAGATTCTTTTATCCAGATTTTTTTACAGACAATTAGCAATCTGTGCATAGTTATAAACGTAACATAAGAAAACTGAACCCTTGGGAAACATTGAAAGTTCTGAGGCAAACTACACAACGCTAAATGCTGGTCTCAGTTACACTCACATCTATTTCAGGGAGGTCACAAAGGACAGCGTGCCATTATTAGCACCAAGTGACTTCTCCCTAAATGCTTCTGGATGAGTTTTCTGTTTCAACAGCATAAAAGACTGTTCATAAAAGACTGTTCATTTCTGGTGCCCAAGATGTTTGCTGACACCCATATACTGACTTTCCTTTGTTTACAGCATTGCTTTGATTCAAATTGACTTTCATCATCTTCTGCAATTTTTTCCCTCCAGCCATATCGGATTTTTAATACCTGGCTTGGGGATCCCGCCAAGAACCTCCTGCTTGCTGAAGTGATTAATGTTATTAAGAGGGAAGACCTCCTAAACAATGCAACTCATGCAGGCAAAGCTCTACTGGCTGGGCTGCTGGACTTGCAGGTAACTGAAATGCTTAAATGAATACAAGCATAGGAGAGAATTGGCATCATGGGGTTTTTCTGATCAGAACACTTGCCCAGTCTGTCCATATCCTGTCACAGGCGGTGCCCAGAACCTGGATGCTTTAGACTCTGGGCTTACCTATGTGATAACTGTATCGGTTGTGATAAACACCTTCAGTTACTTCAGTGCAAGTCTGTGTGCAGCCACTTACTTCAGAAGAGAGCCTTATTATGATGCCATTTTAATATTATTAAATTAAGTTACCTTCAAATAGGGCACATTTAAACCAAAGTAGAGACTTGAACCAAAATAACTAGCGGTGTGATCTACAACTAGCTGTAATCCTAGCCCTAACCCCCTAACTACAGAAACCAGGCCCTGAAACCCTGGAAACCAGGCCCCAGAATGTGTCTCAGGGTGCATCTACACAACAGGGCTTAACTCAAAATAAGTTACGCAAATTGAGCTATGTCAATTGCATAGCTTATTTAGAAATAGCTTATTTTGAAATTGGAAGCATCTACACAGCATTTATTTCAAAATAGAGCACTCTTCCTCCAACTTCCCTTACTCCTCGTACAATGAGGGTTACAGGAGTCAGTAAGAAGTCCTCCAGCTTGACAGTATTTTGACATTATTTCAAAATAACTGCCTGCTGTGTACATGCGGACTAAGTTATTTCAAAATAATGCTAGTTATGTCAAAATAATGTTGCTGTGTAGATGTACCCTGGGTGTCCCAAACCCTGGTTCCTACCTTAACCCAAACCTGCCTGTCAGAAACCCCAAAAATCAGGTCCTGAAACCCCCAAACCGGTCCCTGAAGCCCCAGAAACCCAGACCTGAGAATCTAAGTGTCCCAAACCCTTGTCCTTGCCCATTCCTTAGCCAGTGGTCTCTGCTGGTTTTCCCCTGTGAGAACATACATTTCATTTTCATTTTGTGTGTTGCTTTTGTGTGTCTTAGTTTGCTTTTCTGTCACTGCTTTCGGTTTCACCTTTTACTCCACAACAGTAACAATATTAAGAGGACTAAAATGCCAGTTCATAGACTCATAGGGTTGGAAGAGACCTCAGGAGGTCATCGAATCCAACCCCCTGCCCATAGCAGGACCAACCCCAACTAAATCAGTTCCTTAGCGATAGCAGTGGCACCCGGAAAAAAGTGCAGAAATTCTAACCGCAGCAAGCTCCTTTCTGCAAGGAACTCGGGGCAGCAGTAGCAGGCAGACCTGCTACCAGTCACTCTGCCTTCAGCAAGGCAACAGACAGCAAGCCCCCCTGCCGCTGCCAGGAAGGAATGTGTGCAGGGAGTGGGTTAGGGCGGGCATCAGGGTGTATGGATATATGCCAACAGTGTCCAGCTGGATCGGTGCCTTTCCGGAAGTGGCAGGTAGCCTCGCTGCCTGTTGCCCTGCTGAAAGTGGGGAGACTGGCACTGGGTTCACCTGCCACTGCCACCTCAACTATCTTACAGAAAGGAGCCTGCTGCGGTTTCAAGTTTCACGCCGTTTGCCAACAGCTCTGCGCTTGCAATATAGTGCTCTTCCAGCCAGAACTGAGAATTTGAAGTTTCCAGGGCAGGACCTTCTGCAACAAGCCAGTTGGGGCAATCTCACACATGCACACAGCATGGTGATACCAGAGGTGTTTGTGTGTGTCTTCTGGTTTCCAGCTTTATATCGCCACATAGAGTTTGCAGAAAAAGGGACAAGCCGTGGGCTCTTAAGGCATAGTGTCTTGCACCCTGGGCAGAGATCCCTGGGACACCTTGTGTGAAGATGATGAGGGCTAGTTGGCTGGGTGCTGCCTCACTGCTTTGGGCCTTTCACCCTTGTGAAAAATTCTAACTCCCCAAGTTGACACTCCGAGAATGGCAGCTTTACAGAAGTTTTTTTACAGAAAATGTTGGCTGCTCTGGGTTGGCTACAGCTACCACGTAGACACACACTATATCGATATAACTTCCACAATGCATCACACCAGTTAGTATGATAAGATTACCTACAAAGGCATATGGCCCATCAGTGACTGCTAGCAGCAAATATCCCCAGCAGCCAGAGATGGGGCACTCGGTGAGAAGGGCTCTGAGTTATTCCAGGAAATTATTTCCCGGGTGTCCAGCTGGTGAGTCTTGCTGACATGCTGGGGATTCAACCAAATGCCAGACACCATGGTCAGGATGGAATATTCCTCCAGTCCATGTTATTTATTGTAAATAATGAAATCCTGGTGCATTCACTGAAGTTGTTTTTAATACATTTAAATCTGGGTTTTCTCATGGTCCATGATAATCAGTCCCATCTGTACTAGTTCTTTAAGGTTATTTCTTGTAAGAAACTAAACTAATGCTAATAATACTTTGAACTGGAAGTCTGTTGGCACTTAGAAGCTGTGTGACTAAGACAGGGGAAGTGATTGCGCAATCTGTGACTAGTAGGTGGACAAAGAGGAGCATAAACAGCATATTTGTTTGCAAATAGTTAACCTTCTCCCTCAAGATGTACTCATTAGTGATCTTGCCCAAGCAGATGGGGAGAAGTGACTATGTGGTTTATTTTTCTTTGAGATTTATGGGACAAATTAACAATGTTTACTCTTAACTTCAGTTTGCAGGGTTTGTGTTTCCGAGAGCCGAGTTAGGATCAGTTCAGTCTGTGGAAATGACAGATTTCGCTGCCTCAGCTTCTGTACTAAACAATTGATCATGATTTTTTTTAAATGAAAAGGAATCCTGTAGCAGTGTGGTCTCCAACCTTTCTAACCACAACACCACTTTTTCAATTTAAGTTCAATGTAAGATCTCCCTCAGACCCAAATACCCTTGCCCCACTTCCTTCCTGCTCCTTCTTTGAGGCCCTGCCCTTGCTCCACCCCCTCTCTGAGGCCTCACCCTGCTCACTCCATCTCCCTTCCTCCTCCATCCTCATTCACTTTTACCAGACTGGGGTAGGGAGTTGGGGTGCAGGCTCTAGTCTTGAGCCAAGGGGTTTAGAGTGTGGGAGGGGCTTAGACCAGGACAGGGGATTGGGGTCTAGGAGGGTTTTCAGGGTGCAAGATCTGGGAAGAAGTTTGGGTGCAGGGGGACTCATGTCTGGGGTAGGATGTTGGGTGCAGGAGGAGGTTCAGGGCTGGGACAGGGGTTTGGGAAGCAGGCTCTGTCTGGGCACCACTTAACTGAGACGGCTTCCGGGTAATGGAGCAGTGGGGTTAAGGCAGATTTACTCCTGCCCTGGCCCCGCACCATTCCTGAAAGCAGCTGGCATGTACAGCAATGGCTCCATGGTGCCATATGCTGCCCCTCATCTACAGGTGCAGCTTCTACTGACTATGGTTCCCATTACTGATCAGTGGGAGCTTGCAGGAGTGGTGTCTGCAGGCAAGGACAGCATGTGGAGACCCCCTGCTCTGCTTCTCTCATGGGCTGCAGGGACAGGTCAGCAATGTCCAGGAGCGGCAATTACCGTAGGGATAATTACTCCAGCTACGACAAGTTAAGCATTTTAAAACTCACTACTCAAAGAATTAAATTTAAGTGTGATAAGAAATGAAAATTTTGAAATGCACAGACCAATCTCAACCCAAAATAGCTCACTTTGCAAGCAGTAAAAGAAGTAACAACAACTCCCCACATATGTGTTGGGTTGGGAGATGAGAGTGAAGGACAGGGCATGTTTGTGAGAATTGAAGCGCACAGGATCTTTTTCAACACGCCACATTCATTGATGATGTAACAGAACAGTGTATGCATTCACACACACATGTTCTGTCGATGCTGTAAGTAGCAGTCTGTTGCTTGGCGCAACCTATTGGCCAGATAGGCTGAGTGCAAGGGAGGAACTGGGTTCTTGTCAGTCCAGACTGATGCTCCACAGCATAGCAGGACGGAACCTGAAGAACCATAGAAGATACTCCATCCTTTTCTTTCCATGTGAGTCTATGCATTTTGCCTTGTCAGGCCTTAATCAGTCACTCAGCATTACAGTCAGTTTTTCTGAGACATGTTTATCTGAAGGTTATTCTCGCAGTCATCTGATATCAGTGTGCTGAAGATTGCTCCTGGGTGTTGTCTTCTGGTGAAAGTTGTTTCCAGTTCCTCATCAAGGGGTGCTTGCCGCTAACTTCATGGCTCGTCGAGCTGCCCTGATCCAGCCTGCGTCTTCAGTGTGCTTTATCTTAGTTGATAATTATTTGGTGCTTCTGAGTCTCCTGCCCCTCTGATCATCTGCGCGTACAATGGCCATCACACGTATCTCTCCTAAAACATTCTCTCTCCCATTCACACAAACAATTGCAGCATAGCACAAAGGGTACTTCTAGTCACTTTAACAAAGTCACAGGCTACGTCTAGATTGCATCCCTTTTTCGTAAAAGGGATGCAAATTAGACGTGTCGCAATTGCTAATGAAGCGGGGATTTAAATCTCCCCAGCTTCATTAGCATAAAAATGGCTGCCTTTTTTCGGCACGGATCTTTGCCGGAAAAAAGGGCCAGTCTAGACGCTGATCTTGTGGAAAATAAAGCCTTTTCCGAAAGATCCCTTATCCCCTCTTAAAATAAGGGATCTTTCGGAAAAGGCTTTATTTTCTGCAAGATCAGCATCTAGACTGGCGCTTTTTTCCAGCAAAGCTCCGTGCCAAAAAAAAGCAGCAGCCATTTTTATGCTAATGAAGCAGGGGAGGTTTAAATCCCCGCTTCATTAGCAATTGCGATACGTCTAATTTGCATCCCTTTTACGAAAAAGGGATGCAATCTAGACGTAGCCACAAAGTCTTTCAACATTAAACTTCTATCTATTACAAGGCTTTACCTAATACTAACATCACTATGCATTATAATATTCCATCCCTTCACTTTAACATCAGAACATGCTAACATCAAACAGAATTGAAGCTAAGTTAAGAAAGCTGCCCGGCCTGTCTGAGGCCTGCAACTTGTGTTTAAGTCTATATTATAACATACATTCTTTATAACTAACTTATTACCTACAAGATTACAAGGCTACAGAATGGCAAGCACACAGTGTGTGAGAGTGACAGAGATTTGCATTGTGACGCTCCTTCCATCCCCTTCTCTCTGTGTGGAGATAGGGTACAGGAGTAGGGGCAGGAGAGATACCCGGACATCAGTGCCTCCCCTACCCTGCACAGCAAGCAGGAGGCTCCCAGGGGGGCAGCTCCAAGGCAGAGGGCAGGAGCAGCATGACAGTCGGGGGAGAGGCAACTGAAGTTCCAGTGCTTGATAGCTTCCCGGCCAAATCAGTCAGGATCACCTGTCAGAAGCTCCAAGATCTACTGGTAGATCCCGATCTACTGGTTGATGACCACTGAGTATAGCATATACCAGACACTATTTCAATGTGCTGTACAGAGACAGTCAGACAAAAGGCCATCTCTTCAAAGTGTGGTGCATACAAAATATAATGGGTAAAGAACTGGATAAATTAATGGAGGATATGTCCTTAAATGGCTACTAGCCACAATGATCAGAGCTGCAGCTACATGCTCAGAGCTGTCTGAAACAGCCGAGTACCAGAAGACAGGGATGACTTACCCATAATTACCTGGTTCTGTATATTCCTCCTGAAGCTCTGTTGGACCACACACTGTTGGAAACAGGATATGGGCAAGACGAGCCTTGGTCTGACACAGTATGGAAGGACTTATGCTCTTATATTGGGGAATGAGATTTTTCTTCCTATATAGAAATTCCTGCCTGTTTCATTGTTTCATTTTTCTCTTTTCAGTAGCCCTATATCCCAGTTGCACAGTGGTGCAACTTTATTCCCTTGCGAATAAAGAGCTAAACTCTTACTAGTCTCACTTAGAAAATAAAGTTCTGACTTCACTAGAAATAAGCATCATAAAGGACAAGTAATTGACCATAATTAGTGTGCAGATGTATTTTTAACAACATAATATATTTGTTCCTCAAAATTTGCATCTTATTGCAGTATGAAGATCAGCTGGTTTCTAACACCATTTAGTAAGCTATTTGTGCTCAGATTTGTGATAATGTCAGACTCCTTTACATCCTTATGAGGGAGAGAATACAAAGTCCTACTAGCAATAGACCTCTAGGCTTCTGATTACTAAGCTCTTCAGAAGCACCAAGCAGTTACTTCAGTTGGGTAAAGAGGTCACAGAGCCCTGTGTCAGATGTGAAAACAATGTTAATATTTCCATATCTGCAGCAACTGAGAGGGCAGTTTCCATGTGTTAGAATCCCCTGGTGTAGAGCTCATCAGCAAATGTCCTGGTGTCTCTCCTGGAAAGGTCTGACAGCAGATGTAGGAGTAATGGTGTCTTAACTCTTTGTTCCAGACTCGTTACCCTCATCTCATCAGCAGAGCAAGGGGACGGGGGACATTCTGTTCGTTTGACACTCCAAATGATGCAACTAGGAACAAGTTAATTGCAGTAGCTAGAAACAAAGGTATGATAAAGTCTGCCTGTATGTCATGCAGAAGAATGACTTTCAATATCACATTCCCTCATGCGTTTGATTTTTCGCTTGTGGTGTACACACAATGTCACACAGACATTGCACCAGTGAATGAAAAGCTGCAGAAAATTTTGTTTATCCTGGCTGAGGAAGTAACACACTATATCCATAAGCACAATGCCAAAGCCATAGGTTGTTTCCACATTTGAGATGTAAGATGAGAGTCATGTTCTCTTTATGTTGTACATACAGCCTGATACCATTTAAAATCTCCTCTTAATATCGATAATAAAATAGGAGTTAGTTCTACCAAGGCAGTTTTTGTTAGTCAATAAATTTCTACCAGCATGCTAATTTGTCATTTTATAAGTAATATTATATGATGCCATTTACAATTTTAAATTTTTAAATTTGAAAATATATTTTTCTATCACAGTTGAATATTCTAGTTAAGATTAGTATTACTCAAAATGTATTTGTGTACCTAAAACCACATAATCACAAGTGTATATGTCTGTCCCTATATAATCCACTGTACTTGCATTGTAGCTTACAATAATTTATATTTTATAGAAATGTTATTTTGGTCATGACATAGCACGGTTTATACAACTACACAAACTACAATTTCATAATAATAGATCATCTGTAGAAGTGTATCTGGCCAAAATTTTCAAAAGTAACTAGTGATTTTTGCTTCAGAGGGGTAGCCAAGTTAGTCTGTAACAGGAAAAACTTAAAAAACAAGAAATAGTCTAGTAGCACTGTAAAGACTAACAAAACATGTAGATGGTATCATGAGCTTTTGTAGGCACAACCCACTTCTTCAGATGACCGGAGTATTAGAAGTTCAGATCCAAGAATAAATAAGGGGAGAGGTAAGGATTAAAAAAAAAAGAGACAGTGAGTAGATGGTTCAAATAGTTACAAGAGGCTGATAAGAACAATTAGCACCTCTATTGTTTGGTTGGCTGGTTAAGTCATTAGGATGTGGAAGGTAGTATGCAAGCCAGCTGATGTCCCTGTTCATACTATTTGCATAAGAATTAAGCTTGTAAATGAAGTTAATTTCCAACTCTTCCCTGTGTATTTGGCTTGTGGAATTGGTCTGAAACAAAATGGAGATTTGGAGATCCATTAATGAGTGTTCAGGCAGGATAAAGTGATCTCCAACAGGTTTCTGTGTGTTGCCTTTTCGGATATCTGATTTGTGTCCATTAATTCTTTCCTGTAGAGACTGTCCAGTTTGGCCAATATACATGGCAGGGGAGCATTGCTGGCATTTGATAGCCTAGCATAGATCACATTAGTGCAGTGTTTCCCAATTGGTGCTCTGCGGAATCCTTCAGGTTCCACGAAGCGAAAGTAGGGGTTCCGCGAAGAGCCAGCACTTCCCCGCCCCCTCTGAAAGAGAGTCAGCTAGCCAGCTTCTTAAAGAAGCAGCACACTTGTTTCCCGTTCCTCCCTGGCGATGCAGAGGCATAGGGAGGCCGGGGCAGAGGGAAGAGTTGCTTCTGGCCAGCACTCTAAGGGGGTGCTGGACAGGAGTGACCCCATATGACCCACAGCAGAGAGGGAAGCACTTCCCCTCCCCAAAGGAGCCGGCGTGCGCTGCCTGAACAGCTGGGGCTGTGGGACCCGGCAACTTAGTTCCGCCACCTTTCTGTGCGGTGCGTGGAGGGGAGGTCAGGAGACCCAGGGCTGCACAGCTCCGACTGTGCAGGCAGCGCGCTCTGCCCTGGGACTCCCTGCCCCTCCCCCCCCGGCAGGACGGCATCATGCATGCCAGCTGTTTGGGGAGGGGGAGCGCAGTCGCACACCTCCTGTAACCCAGAGGTGCTGCAGGATTGCCAGGTACTGGTCCCAGATGCCCCTGTCCCCTGCCCAGATCCCCCATGAGTACCCTGCCTCCACCAGCACGTCCCCGGCACTCAGCAGCATTCTGTCCCCAGTCCCAGCAGCACCCTGTCCCCAATCCCAGCAACCTGCTGCCCACCCCAGGACCCTGTCCCCAGCACCCTGCCACTCACCCCAGCACCCAGCAGCACCCTGTCCCCAATCCCAGCAACCTGCTGCCCACCCCAGGACCCTGTCCCCAGCACCCTGCCACTCACCCCAGCACCCAGCAGCACCCTGTCCCCAGCACCCTACCACCCACCCCAGCACCTAGCAGCACCCTGTCCCTAGCCCCAGCACCCTGCCATCCACCCTAGCACACAGCACCACCCTGTCCCTGACCCCAACACCCTGCCACCCACCACAGCACCCAGCACCACCCTGCCCCTAGCCCCAGCACCCTGTCACCCATCCTAGCACTCACCAGCACCCTGTTCCTTGTTCCAGCACCCTGCCATCCACCCTAGCACACAGCAGCACACTGTCCCTGGTCCCAGCACTCTGCCACCTACCCCAGTGCCCAGCAGGACCATGTCCCTGACTCCAGCATCTTGCCCCAGCACCCCGCTACCTGTGCCAGCAACCTGCCATCCAGCAGCCCCCCGGCCCCAGCACCAATTAGCACCCTGTGCCCTGCCCGCACCAGCATAGTTGGGACCACACTAGTGAGGCTTGGGGGGGTTTTTAGCATCTCACTTGTGTGGCCCCAACTGACTTTTCCATGGGTCAGTGACCCCTGACTCAAAACAGGTTCCTCACCCCTCTCATAAATAAAGACAATGCTGAAACATTTTGTGTTTGACATATTTTATTTTAAAATGAAGCCTGGCCAAGCCCCCATCTGGCCACAGCATCATAACACTCCTGCACCCTCCCCCCAGACCTGAAACCTGAGCCTGACATGCACTGGAACCCCCTGTCCTGAGCCTCTCTCATCCCCAAACTCTGAGCCTCTTATATCCCCAGTCTTCTGCCACAACATTCCTGCACCATCCACACATCACAAATCTGTGTCCTGAGCCCATCATACTCCCAGCCTCCCTGCCCCCGAGCCCCTCACATATCCAGCCCAAACTCCTGCACCTTCACATCCACAAGCCTGTGACTTGTTTGGCACCCCAGCCTTCCACCTGAGCCCAGCACTCCCCAGCCTGGAGTCCCCTCCCCAAGCCAGCATCCCCTTCTCCTGCATCCAAATTCACTCCCAGAGCTTGTACTTCTCACCCCTTCCCACATCCAAATCCCTCATTCCCACCCCACACCTCACTCTCTGCCACTGTGATTTCCACTCCAATTCATCTGATGAAATGGGTTTTGCCCACTAAAGCTTATGTCCTAATATGGGGTTTCAAAGGGGTGGGGTCTTGGTGAAAAAAATTGATTTTCATGCATTGGTGGGTCCCCCCCCCCCTTTTTTTTGTGCTTGAAATTCTGAAAAGCTGAAAAGGGTTCCACTGCCAAATACATTTGGGAAACACTGCTTTAGTGGATGTGCAGTTAAATGAGCCTCTGATTTGGTGGCTGATGTGGTTGGGTCCAGTGATGAAATTGCTGGTGTAGATGTGTGGGCAGAGTTGGAACCGGGGCTGATTGCAGGGGTGGGTTTCTGAATAATTATGATGGAGGTGTGTTGCATGGTTACTGGAAAGAATTTGTTTGAGGTTAGGGGGTTGTCTGTAAGCGAGATTTGGCCTAGTGATTTTTGGGTGCCCAATTTGAGGCACCTTAGAAGGAGCCTGAATTTAAAAAAATGCTGAGCGCTCACTCTCTACAGACTAACACGGCTACATCGCTATTACTATTCTCTCTGAAAATAAGGCTCCTCCTAATTTGTCTTAAGTTGGGCACCCCAGATCACTAGTCACTGTAGTTCTTTAGGTTTAAACAATTATACAGTGTTTTAAGAGGACTGTTAAATTATAGTATATTGATTATAAAAGGGGGAGGCAGAGCATTTGCTTTGTTAATGACCTGAGGCTTCAGAAAATATATCTGTACATCCTGCATCCTGCTTCCCTAGTCACTGCTGGGACTGCTTCCAATATTTCAAAGGTCTGATGAGCAGCATCAAACAGCTACTATAATGAATTTTTGTTACTGTGGCAGGTGGTCAGCTCCAGGCCCCTCTGCACCACTGAGACCCCATTTGTGTAAAGACATGATGGGACTCCAGTGCTGTGGAGAACCTTATACTTGCCCGCTGCATTGGGGGGAACTTCATCCTGGGAAATTTATATGTGCTGGGCATTTCACAAAGAGCGAAGTCACTAGGGTGCATTTTATTGTTGTAGGTGTTGTGCTGGGAGGCTGTGGTGACAGGTCAATCCGTTTCCGTCCAACTCTGATCTTCAAGGATCACCACGCGCACCTCTTTCTGAACATCTTCAGTGACATCTTAGCAGACTTCAAGTAAACACTCATTTCCCTTGCACTGAACAGTCCAGTCCTTTAAGATTCTGAAATTAGTTCAATTAATTGATATGTATTTTCACTTATGGGACAAAATGTGAATTTATAAAGTGAAGTTGTTGGGTTTTTTTCCCATGCTTATCAGCAAGTGAAACTACTTTAAACAGAAACTCTGGACACACGTGGAGCTTTGGATTATCAGTTTAATAAAAACCCAGCAACTGCATCTAAATACCTATGCTGCATGCTAGTTTGCATCCCATTTTCAGCCTTGGCTTAGAACAGAAACATTAACCCTACAGACATGCACTGCCTTGTATATTTGATTATTTAATTATGACACAATAACACCTGCCTTTTCCTAGGTAAATGCTGTAGCTTTCCTTTCTCCAGTTTGTGTCCAAAGGAAGCAGCAGACCTTGTGAGTGTAAGATAAAAGCTTAGGATATATGTCTGCTGAGCAGCAAGTGCCATTGTCTGTCAAGGAGAGAACACATTTCAGAGCAAGCTCTGCTTTCCAGCACTACCAAGTACAGTATTTCACAGAATCAGTTCCAGCTCTGTTCCCATAAATACCAACACACAATCTGCCATGAGTCCATCTGATCTGCTACCCTGCCTATACTTGGTTCTCCAGAGGCACTGATACATCTGGCCACTTGTGCAGTGCATAGAAGTGAGGGGGGAATAATTCTTTCTTGTCCCTTGATTAGTTATTCCTAATGTAACAAATCAGGCTTTTGCGCACAAAACTGTACCCAAAAGTTTCTGAAGCTTAGGGAAGAAAATGAAGCATGTACTTCAGCCTTAATTTAGCAATATAAAATGTGTTGGGCTGCAGGATTATTTAACCTGCTCGCCCATAGTATACAGCCATTGATTTAGCAATTCTAATTTCTAAGCAAATATTCAAGGTATCCTACAAAACCACAGATGCATTGTTTTGTACCAAGCCATTATTTAACTTCGGATCTTTTGTGATGGAGTCCTTATTAAGTGCACAATCCTAATGCAATATAATTCTGTTCTTTTAGTAGATTTCTTCTTTCATGCTTGAGGGATCCTTCAGAAAATCAGAGGATCTATAAATGTCAGTGGTGTGTTAATCAGACTATTGTTTAAGATAGAGGAAAGATATCTATAAACGAGCTATCTAATACAAAGGATATTTTCATTAAGATGATTTGCAGATCTAATGCTGTTATGTATTTACTTTCTTTTTACATGTCAATTTTAGGACTTAATGACTGAACATTATTCAAGGTGAAAAATATTTGGAACTCATTCTTGAATTTTTGACATCATGAGACAGTAGATACGTATTACAAATTAAACTGCTAAGCTCCAAATGGCCAATAGATTCTACCGTACAATTCAGTGGAAGCACTTAAATGTTTAGGTTGAGACCTGCACAGCGGCATAAGAGATTTAGACTTATGTTCTAAGAAGTTCAGTGAATGATGTGTTTAAACTCTAAATCTTCTGGTCTGCTTTGAAAACCATTAGTCCTGCCTAATCCTAACAGGTAACTTTTTGTAATTATTGGCAACTAGCAACCAAGGAAATTCACTTTTGCCAATTTAAAAATAAGCAAATCCCTGTAAGCCTGTCTGTAAGCTATATACTGTTCTGGAGCTTGTTGGTCAGAGTTTTCTTAGTATAGACAGGACTTTTGACCATAAGTTCTGATCATTATTCTGAAAGTTCATAGTTGGGAAACAGCAAGCAAAAAGTCAGGCTAAAACTTGTAATTGTATGTTGTTTAGAAAACACTTGGAGGATTGATGAATAACTGTACAGTGAAACCTCATTATCACAGTCCTAGTAGGCATAAGAAAAAAGTCAAATTAAGAAGATCCTCATTTGACATTTTGGGAATTGGGTCATTCAACATATCAGTGCAGTAGATATTAGTAAATGTCTCTAGCAAGTCTTGTACTTTTACAGAATCAAAGGTCCAGTGATGAAGTCTTACCATGTCCTCACTTTTATTATAAATACTCTAGGTGTTTTTATAACTCTTACTGACACTCAGTAATTGTGTAAAATTGTGCACTATGTATGTCGATCAGATTATTAGAAAATATACACAGAGAGCACTGCAGCATAAGCATAATAAAGTAATATTGTTTACAGCATATTGTGGAGAGTGCCAAATAAATGTTTAAACAAAAATACCCACCTACACCTCATGATGTAACTGTTAACAATGTACATGAATCTATGAACTAAATAAATTTCCTGTGTAATCAGTATTCTTAAATAAAATATTTATAATTGAACTCCTTGTAGCTCTTTTTAAATAAAAATATACATTCGTAAATGTTATGCTCACTATATAGCTTTGTATTTTTGTACACTCTTTGGAGGTACACTCTTTGGAAGATTGTTCTGTATACACCATGGCTGTGCCTAGACTGGCCAGTTTTTCCGGAAAATCAGCCGCTTTTCCAGAAAAACTTGCCAGCTGTCTACACTGGCTGCTTGAATTTCCGCAAAAGCACTGACTTCCTACTGTAAGAAATCAATGCTTCTTGCAGAAATACTATTCTGCTCCCGTTCAGGCAAAAGTCCCTTTTGCGCAAAGCTTTTGTGCAAAAGAGCCAGTGTAGACAGCTCAGATTTGTTTTCCGCAAAAAAGCCCCGATCGCGAAAATGGCGATCGGGGCTTTTTTGCGGAAAAGCGCGTCTAGATTGGCACAGACGCTTTTCCGCAAAAAGTGGCTTTTGCGGAAAAGCGTCCGTGCCAATCTAGACACTCTGTTCTGAAAATGCTTTTAACGGAAAACTTTTCCATTAAAAGCATTTCCCGAAAATCATGACAATCTAGACACAGCCCATAAGTCAAGAGGAAGCACAAGCAAACATTAGGAATGCAAAATCCTGTTTAATCAGTTACCTGGTTAAACATTATATTTAACCAGTTAATTGCTTAAACAGGGTCATGTGGCCAACCCATAGCAGGCTGTTCTGGCCTGATTGGGCACACCACACCATGGACTAAGGATATTAAATATTGGTTAATTGAATAGCTGATTAACCTCATCAGTTCTTATCGGTTACTTGACTATTCTATAGTCCCTGGGGATGAGACCCACAGCCAGTACACTCTGGCCCCACTCCTGAGGAGCTCCCTGCCACTCTGCGCTACTGCCTCTGGATTAGAGGCAGGAGCATCAAGGGTGGCCTGTTTAAAAACCAGCTTTCCTTGCAGACTGGCTGCCAATCACCCCGTGCTGTGTGATACAAAGGCAGCAGTCTGGGGTGGCAGCAGCCCCATAGGACTGGGGGGGCTGAGCTCCCAGATCCAGCTCGAACCAGAACTGAACTGGGCTGCCTGGTTCCTAATACACTTTAAATGCAGAGCTGCAGCAAGAGTAGGTTCTGGACCTAGCATAAGCCAGGACTGAGCTGGGCTGTTGGCCAACCTGCCAGAAAGTTTTCTGGTGGGGAGGGAATACGTGTACTCTATATACTTGTAGTCTATGCTTTTGCTTATCAGTTAATTGATTAACCGACTATACTATTACATCCCGACTGTGGATGGGTCAGGAGCTGCTACAGCCCAGCCGGGCCAACAGTTAACTAGTAACTACCACTCAATAAATCGACATCACTAGCCAACACAACTACTTCATCATTTCCTTTTGCTTTACTGCACCAGCACTGGGTTCAGCCAAACCATAGGGATGTAAACTCCCCCTATTTGCTTTGCATTAGTAGCCTGCAAATCAGGGTAAGTCTGAGTGATGTATTTGGATGGTAGCGATTCTCCCTCTGCAACACAAAAAAGGAGATAAGGGCTAGATATGGAAACTACTCTGAAAATTATAGCTAATTCTTCCATGTAAGTGAACATTGAGAGCTGAATTATTTGCCACTGTACCAGGTTTGCTACATGGAGTAAAAATGCATGAAAATAGAAAATGCTGTAAGAGTTTGATTTCAGCACTTTCAGAACAACTCAACATTTCTATCATGTATTTGTGATAGAAATGTTAGTGTTACAATTTATGCCTTTTCGTGTATCTGGCTTTGATTTATACTCCTTGAGCGAGCACTTTTCAGATTATTATTCCTTCTCGGAACAAGGAGTCTTACCATCAGCTGATTAAGCGTCACAACATGCCACCAAGGTAAAGACACTTACAGGTGTGGAGGGTGCATTTAAAAAAAAAATCTAATGAAGTAACCATATAGATAGGAATACTGAGGCCTGGCATTCAAATATCAAACAGCATTCACAGTGTCACAAGAACATTTTATTCCAAACTCCTATTCCTCTACTGTAGACATGCTTCAGACCTCTGGGATCACAGTACAGTAATGAACAAAAGTCCTAGCAGGACTTCATAGGACTGGTTTGAGAGTACCCTGGAGAATGCTTTGTTACTCCTACAAGCAGAAGCAAAGTTTACTTTTTTGCACGTCATGATACTGTGACTGCAGCATATAATCCATTTGACTGAATGGGGCAGGGCTACACTTCCATCTTTTTAAGGAATAACTATCCTTCCTAGCTTGAGACATAACCGAGCTCTGATCTGACTAATGCACTAACAGTGTGTAGCTATCACATCTTTGTTTCACTGTCTCCAACATTTTTAACCACAAGATCGCTTTTTCTATTTAACTGTGACCTCAAACCCAAATACCCTCGCCCGTTTCCGCCCTGGCCCTTCTTTGAGGCCCCGCCCCTGTTCCACCCCTTCTCCAAGACCTCACCCTGCTCACTCCATTCCCCTTCCTTCCCCCATTCTCACTTACTTATGCCAGGCTGGAGCAGGGAATTGGGGTGCAGGCTCTGGTCTTGAGCCAAAGAGTTTGGAGTGTGGGAGGGGCATTGGGATCTAGGGGGGGTTTCAGGGTACAAGCTGTGGGAAGGAGTGCAGGGGGACTCACATCTGAGGCAGGAGGTTGGGTGTAGGAGAAGGTTCAGGGCTGGGACGGGTTCAGCTGGCTCTGCATCACTCCTGAAAGCATCTGGCATGTACAGCAATGGCTCCATGGTGCCATGTGCTGCTCCTTATCTACAGGCCCTGAGCCCACAGCTTCTACTGGCCAGTTCCCCGTTATTGATCACTGCAGACACCATTCCTGCAGCTCCCATTGAAGGACAGCATGTAGAGCTTGCTCCAGCCATGACAGGTTAGGCATTTTAGAACTCAATCAAAAATTACATTTAAGTGTAAGAAATGAAAATTATGAAGTGCACAGACCCAAAATAACCCACTTTGCAAGTAGTAGAAGTAACAACTCCCCACTTTTTGTTGGGTCAGGAGATGAGAGTGAAGAACAGTGTGTGTTTGTGACAATGACAGACACACAGCGTGTGTGACAGATTTGCATTGCCAAGCTCCCTCTGTCCCCTTCTCTGTGTGTGGAGTTAGGGTACAGGAGTGGGGGTAAGAGGGACATCCTGAAATCAGCACTCCCCTCTTCTTCCTACCACACCATGCACAGCAAGCAGGAGGCTTCCAGGGGGGCAGCTCCAAAGCAGAGAGCAGGAGCAGCATGACAGTGGGTGGAGGGACAACTGAAGAGCCAGCACTTGATAGCTTTTTGGACAAACCAGTCAGGATCACCTGTCAGAGGCTCCAAGATCTACCAGTAGATCCTGATCTACTGGTTGGTGACCACTGCTCTAAGTAATCCTCCCTCCTGGCCACTTGGCTTGTGTCCTTTCAGTTGCCTCATACCATGCGTCTTTGTTGCCACCCCTCCCCAAAGTCTTCCTCAACCTTCACATTTTGGCAGCCATCTTTAAGCAGCTACCTCTAGCAGATAGCTGAAAATGTTATTCACATCCCTGTCTGTAGCTGCAAAAAATGAGATGCGGATATCTACATCCATATCTGCAGTTTTGCAAGGCTCGGTATACAGAGGGTTTTGAGGGCCTGCACAAATTCTAAAACTGAAGCTTCCTATTCCCCCCCCCCCCCCAAAAAACAAAACAAAACAAAATACGCCTTCCAAAAAGCTTTCCACTGAGGGCAGGGAGAATGATCCTGCCCCACATTCACCTCAGAGCAGGGTTAACAGGAACAAATATCAGTAAGTGATGTTGTAACCTGATACATTAGCATGCAACACCACTAAGTTTGGGCTCTCACACAGAATCCTAGGCAAACTGCCCGCTTTATCCCATCCTGAGGAGCCCTGAGTCCATGTTTTATCCATATCCAGGCCTGCTTCTCATTATGGAGCAAATCTTGCTTATGATGAGGACATCTTTGAAAAGGAAAGGATTACCTGAGTCCCCACCCACAGCCATGGAATAGTAGAGCTGTTGTCCTCAGTTGGTAGGAAGGAAAGTAAAGGATTTGAAGAGTGATTCCTCCAGCCTTCCCAAGTGTGCACAGCTATTCAAGTAGTTGTGTGAGAGAATGGGCAAAAATGCCCTCTGTGGCTGTGTCTAGACTGCAGGTCTAGACTGGGTGCTCTCTTTCGAAAAAGCGGCTTGCTTTTTCGAAAGTACTGGTTGCAGTCTAGACACTTTTTCGAAAGGATCTTTCGAAAAACCCTCTTTCGAAAGAGGCTTGCATTCTAGACGTAGCCTGAGAGACTGCCAAAAGAAAAAACACACATAGGCTGCGTCTAGACTGGCACGATTTTGCGCAAATACTTTTAACTGAAAAGTTTTTCCATTAAAAGTATTTGCGCAAGGGACTGTCTACACTGGCACAGTTGCTTTTGCATAAAAGCATCCGTGCCAATGTAGATGCTCTCTTGTGCAAGAAAGCTCCAATGGCCATTTTAGCCATCAGGCTTTCTTGAGCAAGAAATTAAGCTGGCTGCCTATGCTGGCCCTCTTGCGCAAGAATACTTGCGCAAGAGGGCTTATCCCTGAGCGGGAGCATCGGAGTGTTTGCGCAAGAACCTCTGATTTTGTACATTACAAAGTCAGTGTTCTTGCACAAATACTCGCAGCCAGTGTAGATAGGTGGGAACCACTTTTGCGCAAAATCTTGCCAGTTTAGATGCAGCCATACTACTTCTGTAATCAGAACATTCTATAGCTGGAGAGGTGTTAGGCAAGATTTTCTCCTGTGAACTTTCATAATGCTATATGAACTGGTGCAGCTTTAAACAACTCCCTCGGTACAATAAGATTTGCTTGTGTTGACATTGTATGTCATCATGTGATAATAAAGGTAACCATTACACTTATTAAAATGCATACTGTGCTTTATAAATCTGCTGCATTACATGTCATTCTACAGCAATAAGCAACGTGAGAACTGAAGTCAGTTAGCACTTCATACAACTTTTTTTTAATTTGTGAAAAGTACAATCTACAGTACACAATCAAAACTAAGTCCGGTCAATGGAAGGATATTTTGAACTGATGTGCCATTTAGTTCCTTTGTGGGCACAGTTGCTGTTTAAAAATAACCATTTCCCTGCTGTCTTTGCAACCCAAATATTAAAATATTATGCCTAAGAAAATGAATGAGTTTCAATTTGTTAAATTGAAAAAAAAATCCAAATCAATCATAAGCACTGAAAATGCTTAAAATTCTTATTTACAATAACCTTAGATAGTGCCTGTAGCTCAGGGTAAGAAAATGTTTTTCAAGCTTCTGCAAATCTGTAATATACTTCTGTTCAGAATTTATCCTTTTCTCTATGTACACAAGTTAAAATGCCACAAGCCATTGCTGAATGCTGGACAAATCTTACTCTGAATTCCACTGACACTAAGTTTTGATCTGACAGAAGAATTGCTACAAAAAGTGAGAGGCATAGTTCCCGGTTACTGCTAGCCAAGGTCACAAGTGAGCAAGCGGTTCCACCTCATGACCATTTCTTGCACTAGTATAATCCTTACTTTGCAGTTCTACAGGAATAATTTGCAATTTCAATAACTTACTAACTTTACATGTTAATAGAAATTAAAATTTTCTTGATCAAAATTTGACAAATTGAAAGTGAAGTCTCACAAGAGATAGTAAAAATGCTGCTGTGGTTTCTATGGTTCTCTCTGATAGCAAGTTACATTTGCTCAGTTTTACCAATAAATTATTTTTAGCTGCTATCCTAGTCTGAAAGCACCATAAAAAAATACCCCACTACCTGCTAGCTCAACTGCACATTCAGGTGAACCAATTTTAAGTGCAAGTTACCAGACATGAGTATTATACTAGCTTTATTTACATAATAGTTGTGTGTGTGCAATGAGATTCAGCTTTCATCTGAAATTACTACACAGAAACTTCTGTCTAGTGGTTACTACATCAAGGTATGCCCTTTGTATAAACACAGGTGTGCATGCTGGCTGAGGATTTGTACGAAAAAAGGATGGTAATATTCCGGATTTGAGTATTTATAAATCTATTAAACTATGCTCTGAATTCAGCATGAAGATCAATGGAAAATGTATTAGTAATATCCTCCAAATATTTGGTCAAACCTCTGTTTATCTACAATATGGCCAAACTTTAGAGTAAAATATAAAATGTGTGTACTATTATGCTGTTTAAACTGAAGCAGTACTTCGTTCTTGGCATCTCCAGTGTCACCCAAGGGCATCACAGTTTCAATTGGACAATAAATGACTTTCTTTTGACCCCAAAATGTCAAATGTGCCACTTTTACCATAGTGCCAACATCATTTAAGTATATCAGTCCAATCATTCGTCTGAAAAAATAACTTGTACCATACAGCATTGCAGCAGCAAAGCAAGCAATGCCAGTGACATACAACAGAAAATCCTGAGAAACTTGTTCCTGCAGATAGAGGTGATAGACTGGAGGGAGGGTGACTACGGTCAGAGCAGTCTGTAACAACTTCATTCTTGAAAATATTCGACAATATTTAATTCCTGGGAATTTGTAGACCAGTTTGAACTGTTCCGTGTCCTGGCTCGCAGGCTTTTCCGAGACTCGGTTGGTGGGGGTTAAGCTACCGGCACATCTGTACTGTGCCAGCCCCGCCCGAGGATTGCCCGCTCGCCACCGCGGAGCCTGTAAGAACACAGGGGTCCCAAGCCAACGGGGGCGGCACCTGTCTCCTCTCTGCCACAGTCTGGCCGAAGGCTCCCGCGGCAGGGCGCGCCCACAGGGAGGCAGCGCGGAGCGGAGGCGAGTGCTGGTTTTGAAGACCGCGGCCTACAAGAGAAGGTTTCATGCCCGGTCTTCACACCTCGCACCGGCAGCCCCGCCCAGCGCAGGGCCCGGCCCGCCTGAAGCC